CCCCCATAGTGCTCGTACCTTCAAACTCGTTTATCAAAATATATCAGTTTCATAGCGTAAACTCATTCTCAGCTGTAAGTCTACGCACTTTACAATTTATAGGAAAACAAATCCGCACCACCCCTGTTCCTAAAAAGGTTGGTGTATCCTGAATGTTCTGTTGGCACTGTGATGCAATTATGTTAATGTAGGTGGTACTTTTCACACAACCGTTGACTCAATAATAATTCTCCCCACACGGGAATCGAACTCGGGTCCTCTGTGCGCAACGGCCAAGTACGTAGCTGCTGCACCATAGGTGCCGATCAGTAGTGCATGAGGTAAGAACCTTTTACAGCGGAGTAAAGTTATTAAACCAAACAGAATTGACGTTCAAGTCCGATAGAACCGAGCGAAATGGATAAGCCAAATTTAGAACTCCTCTAAAGATCCAAGTTTTAGAAAATACCATGGGGCATTTGAATCAGGGCCATCCTCGTGGCAGCCCAGCATGGTACGAACTGAGTTCACGCTGTGCCCTAAGCTAAAGTCAACTGTAATAATGTTAGTGCAATATCCCCCCCTCTCTCTCTCTCTTTCTCCCTCTCTCTATTTCCCTGTGTCTTTCTGTCTGTCTCTCTGTCTCCCTCTTCCTCTCTGTGACTCTCTCTCTGTCTCTCAGCTTTCTCTTTCTGTCTCTCCTTGTGTCTCTTTATTTCTTTCCTTCCTTCTTCCATACTTGAAATCTATGTCTTCATGAAACAATGTTGTTAAAGACGAAGAACGTGGGTGGCGTGGGAAGTGGAGAGGGGGGAATGAATAAATAAATATAAGAAAAGTATGGTCAGCCTCTCCCCTTGTGTTACTGCCTATCCCACCCTATCTTCTTCGTTTCTCCCACTGCGCCCCTTCTCTCCCCTGTTCCCTATCCACTGGTTCATCACATCAGCCTTTTTCTCATCGTTCTTGTCTTCCTGAGTTTCCTCGTCCTCCTTTTCCACCTCCTCTTCCTCCTCTTCCTCCTCTTCCTCCTCCTTATTTCCTCTGATCAACCATATCCCTTCTATCTCCACTTTCATCAATCCTCCTCCTCCTCCTCTTCCTCCTCCTCCTCCTCCTCCTCCTCCTCCTCCTCCTCCTCCTCCCCTCACTACCTCCTCGTCTTTTCCCTCCCCATCACTGTCATCATTGTCACCAACTTAAGATCCCAACTTTCTCCTCATTATTCCTTCTGATCAACCATATCCGTATCTCCACTTTCGCCCATCCTCCTTCTCCTCCTCCTCTCTCTTTATCAATACAACCCACAACTTCCTCATCCGCCCGTCTGTTCCGACTAATCAGTCTCTCTCCATCCTTCCCGTCCGTCCCGCCGACATCTTTCCCTCCACAATCCCCCACAACTTCAGACAAACCGTCTTTGTGCCCATGAGGAACCACGGGCCTTATTTTATCAGTGACTTTCCTTGGTGACACCGGAATTTTGCATTGCCACCACCATTACAAGATGGAGACTTATCGGACGGACAAAAAGGGTATCGCATTTTTGTTTGTTCAATCTCCCCCACAAGATAACGTCCATGTTTCAAGCTCCCATGCGGCTATGGGATGCTATCAGATTCACTTTCTATGCCCACAAGAAAGGGCCTATAAATAGACTTGGGCCTGACATGAGGACGCCGGCTGCCAAACACACGAAAATACGGGACTCCCAATCCAAACCAAACGACAGTCAAAATACGTTGACTCCCCAAGCAAAAATTTGACTTCATGAGAAAAGCTATTTCTCGTTCGTGATGCATAAAAAAATACCAGCCTGTATCTAAATTGGGCCTTCAGACATTCGCTCTAATATTATCAACACTCCCAGCATTTTTTGTTTGTTTCCAAAACTTTCCCACATAAGTTTTGTTTTTCATTTTACATACACTTCGTATCAGAATTCTTCAACATGTGAGTAAAGATTTACCGTCGCTATGGGTAAACAGACAGACATAATCATGACGTCACTTGGCGACAGCCTGTCTCCACTGGACGCTGAAAAAATATCTTCTTGGGATTTTCACATACCGTTTTCATCTTTTTTTCAAGTACTCCTCCCCTGTCAGAAAATGAAAATTCGTAAAGTTTCAGGTGCGTCATACGAATATTTGAGACTTAATAATATTATTTTCAATATTCCGCGGTCGATGTTCTGTGTACTTAGCCGGGTGGAGACTGTGACGTCATGAGTCACTGTCTATGTGCACTTGCCAAGTCTTTGGTGAGTAATTACTGGAGGAAGAGTTGTGAGACAGAGGCAGAAAGACAGAAAGGGAGAGAGAAGGAAAGAGAGAGAGAGAGACAGAGAGAGAGAGAGAGAGAGAGAGAAAGAGAGAGAGAAGGAGAGAGAGAGAGAG